CGGGTCTCAGCTGAACTCCTGTTCAAAATGTCTGAGCAAAGAGCACATGGAGTAGATGCTTTTTATAAGCTATGCATCCCCAATCTGTACCCTTATACCAATCAGCAAACAGGACACACAGGATTACCTTATATGGACAGACAACATTACCCTTTAGGAGAATGGAATGTGGTTTCAGTTCTTGCACATGCTCAGTACATTGAGGATAGTCGCTTAGCTACATGTAACTAACTAATAGATACAATAGATACCTGTACTTGTATATGTCACATGTAGATTTTAGGCCTACTAAATTTTGGGCCTAGCTGAAATCCCATCACAATTGAAGCGGGAAAGGAAGAGCGACCATCTAGCCCAGTGGTAGTCAACCTTTTTCTACCTACCGCCCACTAATGCATGTTTCTTGATGGAAAAATTTCCTTACCGCCCACCAGTTTTCACGCAAGTGCGGAATATTTTTTTAGAAAGGAGGGTGTTTTTAAAAAAAAATAAATGTACGTACATTTAGCTTTTTATTTCTACTTAATGCATGTTTATAATGTTTTTAACTTTATAAAGTTTAATTGGAAAACAATAAAGTAAATTGAAATTACCTTTACTAGTGATTAATGAGATCCTTGAGGCTGATGTTGCAAGACTAAATATTTGATATCTGGTTCGATTTTCGTAAGGAACAAACAAAGGTCTCCTCTTTCGGTGATATTCAGACGACTTCTCTGTTTGCGCATAATATGATTTCTCATCTGTGCGTCAGCTCATCTCATCTCATCTCCCTCAATTCCCCTCCCCACCTTTTTTATCCCTTTTTTCTATTTTGTAACCTTCCTTATAGCAATGCCCAGTAGGAAAGCTTAGCTAGGTAGCCCACTTACTATAGCCCACTATAAGACATACATAGACACATACACACATACAGACACAAGACACACATACAAAGACACACACACATATATACAAAGACAAGACACACATACATACACACATATATACATATAGACACACACACAAGACATACATACATAGACACAGACAAGACATACAGACAGACACACACACAAGACATACATACAAAGACACATACACACAAACAAACACACACAAAATATTTTAGTCACCCTCTTGTTTTCTACCTTTTAGGTGCAGGAGGGTGACTTTCCCTGGGGTTCAGTGGTGGCTCAGGTGCATGGGAGTCAGAGTTCCTACTCTGACTCCCTGGTCTTCCTCCCGCGCGGTCTGTTTGTTAGCTGGGAGGACTGACGCGCAGTCACTTCCTCCCAGCGTGTGATGTAATAACAGGGGGCCCGGTCAAGCTGTTAAAGCGCCCAGCGCTGACCGGGCCCCCTGTTAATCCACATCCATCAGGCGGCCCTGACAGCATGGGCCACCCGATGGACCCCTTGGATGGCGGCCCCGGCAGTTTGCCAGGCGGGCCGGGGCCGCAAATGGTGACGGCGGTACCCAGTCGCAGGGGTACTGCCGGCTCGCCCTCCCGCCCACCCAATCTCTGAAATCCCTACCGCCCACCTGGAATCCTGAAATGCCCACTAGTGGGCGGTAGGGACCAGGTTGACGACCCATGATCTAGCCTGTCTGGAGGATAATCTCTTAGCGTCCCCGATGTAAGCTAAGTTCTTGTGATCAATGAAAATCAGGAGTGGCTCTTTGGAACCTAGTAAGAGATGCCTCCATTCCTTGAAGGCGAGAATAATGGCCAATAAATCCCTATTCCTGATTTCATAGTTTTTCTCAGTAGGAGTCAGTTTTCTAGAGAAAAACCCACAGGGATGCAAAGGTACATCAGGATTCTCTTGTTGAGACAGAATGGCCCCTACACCGGTCTCTGACGCATCCACTTCCAAGATAAAAGGTTTAGCAGGATCGGGATGTGCTAAAACAGGTGCTGAAGCAAATAAAGATTTTAATTTATCAAATATCTCTTTTGCTTCCTTGGACCAAGAATTACAGTTAGCTCCTTTTTGGGTAAGGTTGGTTATAGGAGCAATCACAGACGAGCTCCCTGTACCCCTAGCATAAGAAAGCCAATCTTTGACCTATCTGTTGGGAAGGAGCCAGGAGAAGTTTCAAAGTGATATTCAATTTGATTAGGGAAACCCCTGAACTCCTTGGGTTCACCTCCAAAATGAGGGGGAAGAGAAAGAGTTATGGAGGGAGGCTTGTAGGGTATAATAGAATGTGTCTTTTATCTTTACTTTCTTAATAGAAAGTCTTTTATCAAATGGATGATGGAGGCATTGAAAGTCCATTAACTGGGACTGGTCAAGGGACTGCTTGAATTTACATAATTTGGTGTTAGGCATTTGTGTGGTACAGCACGTAGTCATCAAAATTTACTTAAGTCCAACAAGTGCAGTTTTTTAGAAATCTATTCTACTTTGGGGGCAGAACTAGGGGGTGAGGAGGAGGTATAGGGTGTACTGTAAGATCATTTAAAGAGTAATTCTAAGAATTAGAAGGATTATGGTGCCAGGAGTACCCAGACACAGCTTGCCCCCTTACCTGGGTTACTTTCATGTCCCAGGAGATGTTCTATGCGCTTGGTGTTCTGCAGAGCATGGAAGCACGAATCCGTGGCAGTCGCCATTTATTGTCTGAGAGTGTCAGCCAATGAATGCCATTCTGTACAAACAAAAGTGATGCTGCTGGAGGTGGAGTTGCACCTCTGAGAGCAGAGGGGTTAAGCTCTGTACATGCAGTATTTCAAAAGAAAACACTGCACATAAAGATTCTAGGCACCATGACCACTTCAAATCACTAAAGTGGTCATTGTGTTTGGAGTGACCCTTTAATCACAGATAAAAAGAGTGTTTGTTACTGTTTATTGTATAGCTCAGCAGTTCCCAAACTGTGTGCCGGGGCAGTCACGTCCTCCCAGCGTGTATCACAGGGGGCCCGGTAGCGCTGTTAAAGCGCCACATCGCTGACTGGGCCCCCTGACAATCCATCTCCATCGGATGGCCCTAACAGCATAGGCTACCCGATGGACTCCTTAGATGGCGGCCTCTGCGGTTTGCCGCGTGGGCCAGGGCTGCAAAAGATGGCGACGGGTCGTAAAGGTCAGCAGGGCGGCCGGGCCCCCTAGTGACGGGGACGGTCGACTGTGGTGTGTACGCCACTGGGACCAGGGGGGGCTCTAACCTGCAGCTCCGCCTGGTTCTCCTCTCGGAAGCTTGGAGCGTTGCCGCGGGACCACCAGGGATTAGTACTGTCCTCCCTCCCAGGCACAGGTAAGCAGGGAGGGGCAATAAGAAAATACTTTTTTTATTTATTTTTTAAATTAGATATTTATGAATTTGCCCTCCTTCCCCCACAGAGACACAATAACCCCCTATACACACTCTCTGCCCCAATACACACATTACACCCCCATACACAGACACTGCCCCTCCATACACACAAACTTTACCCCTCATACAACCTGCCACCACACAAACACACACACTACATCCTTCACAAACACAATGCACCCACATACACTCACTACACCCCTCACACACACACTACAGACTCTATCCCGGCAGATCCCAGGTACGTTGTCAAACTGTTCTTAAACAGTTTGACTACTTACTCTGGGAGGGCACTATGGCACTTCTGGCCCCAAAACTACTACAAAGTGCAGTAGTGGTTATTGTGCCAGGATTGTTTTTTTTTTTTAATAATCTGCCAGTGCCCCTCCCAAGATTGGGTTCTGGATCTGTGCGTGAAAGGCAAGCATTTCTGCCAAACAGGGGCCTAGAAAATTGTTTTGACTTGGGGCACCTTGGAAAAATATTGAAATATTAAAGGACCATTCTAGGCACCCAGACGACTTCAGCTTAATGAAGTGGTCTGGGTGCCAGGTCCTTCTAGGGTTAACCCATTTTTTTATAAACATAGCAGTTTCAGAGAAACTGCTATGTTTATGAATGGGTTAAGCCTTCCCCCTAATCCTCTAGAGGCTGTTTTATTGACAGCCACTAGAGGCGCTTGCATGCTTCTCACTGTGATTTTCACATTGAGAGCACGCAAGCGTCCATAGGAAAGCATTGTAAATGCTTTCCTATGCGACGGGCTGAATGCGCGCGCAGCTCTTGCCGCGCGTGCGCATTCAGCCCAGGAGGAGGAACGGAGGAGGAGAGAAGGAGGAGAGCTCTCCATCCAGCGCTGGAAAAAGGTAAGATTTTAACCCTTTCCCCCTTCCAGAGCCGGGCGGGAGGGGGTCCCTGAGGGTGGGGGCACCCTCAGGGCACTATAGTGGTCCTTTAAGGGCGCCTTGAACCTAAAAATTTTGGGAACCACTGCTGTAGCTGTAAGTATTTAATGTAATATGCATTGTATGTGAGAGGATAACAGAGTTCCACAGAATTAAAATGCACACACTCCACTGTAACGTAATGTGAATGTAAGGGAGTCTTTATATAGAGGTTTGCATGTGTTTGTGTGGAGTGTAATGAGTATATGAATACAGATGTGTCTTTATGAATACAGGCCTGCAGAGGGTATTTGGCACACACTTTACTAGTTTTAAACCATTGATCATTTCTCTATTAGTTAAAATTAAAGATATCTAGGTGTTTTTGATCCCATCTGATTTCTTAAAGAATCGATTGAATTTGCCAGGGAAGAGAGGGACCAAAAGCACTATTCAAAAGCACTAGGATTCTTGAGTGAGTGAAAAATCCAAAGATTACAATGGCCAGGTAAGAGTTAAATAAAATGATAAAAAATAAATAAAAATGTAATAAGAAATATAAAATAAAGGTATATGGCACAAGCACAGTATTAGGGGCCAATATTCCTTTAATAATAGATAATAAAATACATTAAAAAACAGCCAAACGCGTCTCACCAATAAATGGCTTCATCAAGTGGCAATAAAAACAATGCCTGGTACATGAGAGTTTATATAGGTACTTACATACAATAAATTAATCAAATTGCAACTGTGACGTCATTTTGGCACCAAAATTTGATTAATTTATTGTATGTAAGTACCTATATAAACGCTCATGTACCAGGTATTGTTTTTATTGCCACCTGATGAAGGAATATTGGCCCCTAATACTGTGCTTGTGCCATAGTCCTAGGTGGGGATTATACCACCTATGCCAATATAGTGAGCAGTATATTCCTGCTCACATATATGTGAGTATTATACCTTTTATATACCTATCCGTTATTGTCATTTACAGAGAGCACTATTTGTTTTTTTTTCTCTCTATATACTGAGGACCTGTACCTACCAACACCTATATCCTACCAGTGGGGGATCAACGCCACTAAATGCTACACACTCCTGAGCTGGCCATAGCTCTGAAATAGGTGAGTAAGAAGAACTGATATTACCACCACTGTCATCTTCCCATTACAGTTTCACACTATTGGAATTTCTCTTTTCTATCTGCATGCTTCCACATCATCTGGATACCTGACTTCCTCAGATCCTACAAGGTCTATTGATTCTACTTATCTCTTCAATCAAACGTGGACTATCATCTCTTACACTTTTTATCAGGACATTATTCCTTTTTTATTCATTTTTATGTAAGTACGCATTGTTTTTACGGTTTTATTACAGTTTTGGTGCGACCTATATTCTGGTTTGTACTAGGCCCTGTTTTGAGGCTATTCTGGCCTTTTCCCGGATCTCCGATGGCATCCTCCAACTGTCCAGGACCACACAGTGTCAGAGCACCCCCTGGAACCAGTATGCGTGACCCCGAGCATCAGATTGCGGTTGATTGTGGAGGGGAGTTTCGGAGCTGGGTGAAACGCAACCAGCTAAAATGGCAGCGGAAACTGGAAGCCTGGATTGTGTATTTTGTATGTTATATATATATGTATATATATATATATATATATATATATATACACACACACACTGTACAACATTATAAACACAACACTTTTGTTTTTGCCCCCATTTTTCATGAGCTGAACTCAAAGATCTTTTTCTATGTGCACAAAAGGCTTATTTCTCTCAAATATTGTTCACAAATCTGTCTAAATCTGTGTTAGTGAGCACTTCTCCTTTGCCGAGATAATCCATCCACCTCACAGGTGTGGCATATCAAGATGCTGATTAGACAGCATGATTATTGCACAGGTGTGCCCTAGGCTGGTCACAATAAAAGGCCACTCTAAAATGTGCAGTTTTACTGTATTGGGGGGTCCGGGAGGGTCTGAAAACCAATCAGTATCTGGTGTGACCACCATTTGCCTCATGCAGTGCAACACATCTCCTTCGCATAGAGTTGATCAGGTTTAAATACGGTGTAAGTAACAGGGACCTACACCTATAAGTGGAGCGCTCAAACTTATATATTGCTTACCAAGCGTTGTTTCATATCATGGTACATGTAAAAGAATACAGAAGAATACAATATAGTGCAGATGGTATATACAAAGTGACAGTGCAATAATGGTGGTATAATCTTAATGGCTGGTACACTCACATTCCAAGGAGCCTGTATATGGAAACACTGGCTCCGTATCAAAGCTTGTGTGCTTATAATGGTAGCACCACCCTTCTACTTCAGTGTGGAGTAATTCTCAAAAACAAAAACAGAGGGAAAGCGTACCAATGTGTAGGAATGTGTTGGAATGTGAGTGTACAAGCCATTAAGATTATACCACCATTATTGCACTGTCACTTTGTATATACCATCTGCACTATATTGTATTCTTCTGTATTCTTTTACATGTACCATGATATGAAACAATGCTTGGTAAGCAATATATAAGTTTGAGTGCTCCACTTATAGGTGTAGGTCCCTGTTACTTACACCGTATTTAAATCTATTATTTTGTCAAGTGGGATAGAGGATATTTCCACACAAGTGTATAGAGCAGCCTGAAAATCACTTGCACTTTGTAAAGCACCCTGTTACACACATTCCTCCGTAAAAAGAGGTCAACTTTTAAGTTGATCAGGTTGTTGATTGTGGCCTGTGGAATGTTGGTCCACTCCTCTTCAATGGCTGTGCGAAGTTGCTGGATATTGGGAAGACCTCGAACACGCTGTCGTATACACCGATCCAAAGCATCCCAAACATGCTCAATGGGTGACATGTCCGGTGAGTATGCTGGCCATGCAAGAACTGAGATGTTTTCAGCTTCCATGAATTGTATAAAGATCTTTGTTACATGGGGCCGTGCATGATCATGCTGCAACATGATGGTGATGGTTGTGGATGAATGACACAACAATGGCCCTCAGGATCTTGTCATGTTATCTCTGTGCATTCAAAATGCCATCAATAAAATGCACCTGTGTTCATTGTCCATAACATATGCCTGCCCATACCCTAACCCCACCGCTACCATGGGCCACTCAATCCACAACATTGACATCAACAAACCCCTCACCCACACGACGCCATACATGCTGTCTGCCATCTGCCCTGTACAGTAAAAACGGGATTCATCCGTTAAGAGAACACCTCTCCAAAGTGCCAGACGCCATTGAATGTGAACATTTGCCCACTCAAGTTGGTTACGACGACGAACTGCAGTCAGATGTATACCCGATGAGAATGACGAGCATACAGATGAGCTTCCCTGAGATGGTTTCTGAGAGTTTGTGCAGCCAACTGCACGCTCCCTCAAAGCTTGCAACTTCTGTGACATTATGCTGTGTGAGAAAACTGCGCATTTTAGAGTGGCCTTTTATTGTGGCCAGCCTAAGGCACACCTGTGCAATAATCATGTTGTCTAATCAGCATCTTGATATGCCACACCTGTGAGGTGGAAAGATTATCTCAGCAAAGGAGAAGTGCTCACTAACACAGATTAAGACAGATTTGTGAATATTTGAGAGAAATAAGCCCTTTGTGTACATAGAAAAAGTCTTAGCTCTTTGAGTTTAGCTCATGAAAAATGGGGGCGAAAACAAGTGTTGTATTTATAATTTTGTTCAGTGTATATATACACACACACACACACACACACACACACACACGCATATATCTAACGGTGTTAATATGATTTGGAGACTGTTTTATTGTTTACTTGTCTTTTATTGTCCTTACTTGAACTTTATTATTTTGACACTCCACGTCTGCTCTTCTGCAATTCAAAACTGTAGAATGTGCACATATGAAATCTAGTTATCACCTCAGTTAACACCAATGCTGCTGGGTACACCAGGTTCCTTTTGTATCCATACTGCCTCTCAACATCATTCTTGTTTTGCTTCATTTCATGAATTACTCAGCATTTACTGTCTTTTTTTTTTTTTTTTTTTACTGTTTTTGTTCTTATTAAATGTTCTTTTACTTTTACTAGTAGAAATGTTAAGTTCAAATTCACTTTGTATTCAGTATTATTGGTAGTTACAATTTTTTTATATCTGAATACTTTTTTCATTTAGGATATCTTTCATTAGTGTCTGCTAATTAGTATGTGTTATTTTATACTGTTGTTTTTGGGTGAACTAACTAATGTATATATTAGTGCTTGTAAATATTCCAAATCCTATATGTTTGAATTTGATCCATCACTGACTATATTACTAATGTTATTTTTGTAAATAATATTGATTTTTTTTGTGGATTTATTATCATTATATTTTGTATTTTTATTATTGCTTCCTTTTAATATTTCTAATTTCTTGCTATTATTCTTCCTCGCAGTATGGTTTGCACTAGGGGTACATTACAATGACAGATCTGACTTTAGGCTGGTATTGTTAGCAAAGTATGCACAGGCCAGTCACAATTTGCCGATATCACAAAGTAACTGGATATTTTCTGGGCTTTTTGATTACATCATAGGTCATGGACATTCCACCATATTTATGATGCCACTCTAAAATGTGCAGTATTGGGGGGGGTTCTGGAGGGTCAGAAAACCAGTCAGTATCTGAAGGTAGTGTGTATTAGTGTCATGGACATTCCATTATATTTATGATGCCACTCTAAAATGTGCAGTATTGGGGGGGTTCTGGAGGGTCAGAAAACCAGTCAGTATCTGAAGGTAGTGTGTATTATTTTTATAATATTGATTTTGTGATCTTATATGTATATTAGAGTGTTTATTTGTCCTTTATTGACATAAGTGATTAAAAAGGATGTCACTTTTGGGAGTCTTTGCACAAAGATTTCTGAAATGGACAGATGCGGTGTGGGTCCAGTGGCCGCGGCGGGGAAGAGGGAAAGGTAGGTTTTACTTACCTCAAGCTATCCCTTGGAGCCACTGTCATCTTTTTTCCTGCTGTCCTCTTCAGTTCCTGGTGCTTCATTTGCAAGTTCAAGAGTACAACATTTAGGTCTGTGGAGGATTCTGCAAAACCGGTGGAGCCTCTTTAGATCATTCTCTGAATCCCACAGCCATCAATTCTTAAGGCTGCTGAATAGGACAAAAGTTGACTAATCTGTCAACATCAGATTTATCATAAGCTAAAATAGTCCCTACTTTCTAAAAGTAAAACTGCTATCATAAAGTATCAGACCAGTGGAATTGTGGTGACTTTGTCATTGTCAACAACTTATCGGTTGCTGTCAACATGACAGTAAATTTTGGACAAGAAATGTTTCTTTTCTCCATTGGTGTTAACATTGTATCATTTAAAGATGCATTTGTTGTGTTTGCCCATTGTGGTATTTTGAAATTGTTGTAGTTTTTTTAATATAATTTTCACTATTTCTTGATAATGTCTGTATTGGCATGCCTGGTTTTAAGTTCCACCACATCTTAAGCTGTTTGTCCACATTATTTTCTCTTTGGTTTCAGATATGGTTATTAGATTTTTTTGTTGCTGTACCGATGTTTTGATTTCAAAAGCAGTTTCTTCCCCATTCTCACTTCACCTATACCTATGAGGACAGCATTGTGTTAGATTGCTACATTTTAGTAAATTACCCTGGCAGTCTTAAACACCTCTCCCCTACTCCCCCCTGCCCCCCCCTATCATTTATATATTGACACTGCAATATTTAGAGCAATATATCTCATGCACACCAAAATTCCCCTATTTTAACCTAAAATGTGTAATCTAGTTTTTAATTTACTCTAATTTAGTGTGTATGTGACTTTGTGTAATTATGTATTTTGTGAAGGTGTGTCTGTGTATGTGGCTTGTCCAGACTCAGATTATGGGTGAATATTGCCAGTTCAGCATACTTACATAATGCCTGGAGTTTATCTCTCTCAGTATCTCAGGGCATGACTTGCATATTAATAGAGCAAACTTCGGAACGTTGGATTTTTAGAGATCCTTGTAGAGTTTAAAACAAAAGTTACAAATGCATTTTATTTTAGTTGCATCTCATTGATATCAAACTATATAACCTGCAATTTGAATCTCTATAAACACATTCTGTACCTGTTGCGTAAGTGTTACTGTATTGTAACCTTTG